ATAAATCGATGACAATGTCGCCGGTCATTGCCGCTATGTCCAGAATAGCGTCCCAGGCACGGCACACCGTGCGCAGCATGGTCCGCGTTACCGTGTCCAGATGAGCGAACACTTCCTGCCACACATCCACACCCAGATCAGGGGACCCATCCATCATCCCACGTTCCGCACACGCCGCATTCTTGCGGTGGATTTCCGAAAGGCTTTTAATCAATGCGGCGTGCAGCGGCTCAATGATCTTCTGCAAACAACCACAACGACATTCAGCAAACCGCCGAAAAAGAAACGTAACCCAATTTCCCGGGAAACAAGGTCCACCCAGGTGTAATAAGTTACTCACGAACCTCTGCTAAGTCTTCACGCTGCGGCAGCGTCATGCTATCGTACAGGTCTACGATATACTGCAACTGCCCGTCCACGACGTCGACGCAAACCACCTGGCCGGATGGTTTACCCAGCCAGTCCCAGATATTCAACAGGGCCATCTTCGGCTCATTCCGTGCCTGCAGTAGTTGAACTGCAGAGGTCCCACGGCAGCCAGCTGGCAATGGCATGCTGCGCTTGACAAAGCGCCCCGGTTTAATGCACGCTGGCCGCGTTACATTCGGAATCCTCTGTCGCTCCTTCAATCGCTCCGCCCACCAGTAGTCCGGCACGTGGAAGCGGATGCGGTGTTCTGGAAAGATATCCGTCCAGGTGGCCCCGCTGTCATCCTGCCCCTGGACAACGGCCACGGTGCAGTACACCAACCACGATGATGAGCCTGACACCAGCGGACTGATAATTTTTCCGGGCCACCACCGCCACGCACCGCCGGGATATTCACGACGCAGTACTTCCACCGAAACCGTCTCCCATGACTCATCCTCACGACTGTACTCTTTGAATTCGCAGGCCTTGGACAGGAAGACCTTGTTGAATGGGAAGAATTCGCAGAGACGGTCTTTGCACAGTAGATCAATGTAGAGACCGTTGTCCTCAACGTCCACCACACGGCCGTTCAACAGGGTCTTGTTGTCGCCCACGATGTTGATATGACTGGTCCGTGCCGCAAACATGGCTGACGCGATGAATTTCCGGGTACAGGCTGACGAAGCACAATGACCTGCACACGGCACACACTTCGCAATTCAGTTTTCTAAACAGCTCAGTTGACAATCTGCAAAGACAAACACAATTTGTCCTAGCAAAAATAACTGGTCTTCAAAATCAGAATCGCAGAAATGAGCGTAGCGAAAAGAAGTGTACTGCATGACCTTTCAATGGTAGAATAACAGAAACAGAGCGAGCCACTGGCCTCCGCGACCATGCAGCATTTCAACAAAATTGTATTGTCACTTTATAAGTGAAAAGTCTCACCTAATGAGACGCAAGATTTGGATATTCCGGCAGTTAAGGAAAGCTTGAAGTTCCAGAATTAACGGTGTCACACGGCACCGAATGATTGCCCGGAAACCATCGGCGAAACAACCCGGAAATATTTACATTATTGGCGATATTGACAAGTCATAGAGTCACAGACCTCTAATCAGCCCACTAATACGACTAGACTGTGTTGCACGTCCCATAAAAGTGCATGCAGCGAGCAGACAGGGAAAATCCGCAGAAACAGTGAAGAGCTAGCTAGAAACAACGAATAATTAGGCAAGCCTTACAATCTGAGAATAATAATCAGAAAAAAATTTCTTCACTGGTGGCCTGCACAGTATACTGTACGTATCTGTACAGTACTCATCAGTTCCGGTGCAATATACGCAATCAGCTAAAGCACACATCTCTCAGCCTCTGGCATGTATTTCGTGTACGAGTACTACTTATGTACGACTTGTCAAGATTCTACACAGTTTGTGCGTCTATCGAGGAGCATCGACCTCCTGCATCTGTCATTTCAATGTCAATGGTTTGTCATTGCTAGAATTTCAAGTGTGATGGCAGCTTTGGGAGGTGACAGATTAAACAGCTTTTCGGCCTTGTCTATTCTGCTGTTGTCTGTAGGTATAGATATGCTCTGCTGCTCCTATTTCAACTTCCCATAGGTACCGGGTAGTTTATACTTTGTAATAAGCTAGTTTACATTATTTTATGCTCTGCAGCGCGCTGTTTAATTTAAGGATACTGTGGATGAGCTTTGTAGTTTTATCCGCAAGGAACAAAGAGTGGTACGGGGAATTCCTCACTTATACGTTAATTACTGGCAAGTGGCTTTTAGTTGCTTTCGTAACTGCCCAGTGGTCAGTTTGCGGAGTGCCCGCAGTTGCAGCATTCATTATCATTGATTAGACACCGCTCAGAACCCCATCCGCTCAGCAGCCATGTTTGTGGCACGGTCCAGTCACATCAGTGTTGTGGAACTGGACGATGACAACGTCCTCCTGTACGGTCGTGTGGTGGACGTGTCCGATAACGGGCTTTACATCGATCTGCTGTGCCCCGAGCGTCGACGTTTTTAGCCGGCAGATATATTGGCCTGTTGACTGTTGGCGAGCCTGGCAGGAAAGTGGTTTTTCAGTGTCAGTAGCGGGCCGAGCGTTGATTTAGGGGAAGAGGTAGTAGTCCTTTTTAGGCTGCTTACACCTGCCCCTCTAACAAATTCGCCGATCGATATTTTTGCGCGAACTTTTCTGTAAACTGTTGAATGACCCAAAAGGTATTTTTCACGGGCCAAGACAAAAATCTTTCGCGTTCAGTTGTTGGCTTAGCGCTGCAACAAGGGGTATGTCCCATTGACTTGTATGTTAAAAATGCCCTACCGAGAATTGTGGTTGCCTAGCGCATAAATTGAGATAACCTAAAACCAACACTTTTCATGAATAAACTATAGGTCCTGTTAGTTGATTTTGTTGTGCCGCGAAACATTTGCCTCACATGCGGGGAGATGGAAGCGCCAGAAGAGCGGAAGAAAAAATCAACAAAGCGGTAGCAACAAAAAGTCATGGTGGCTGTTTGTGGCCGCGTGTTTTCGCCCTCCTATACTTCAGTATAGATTGTAAACCTGAAGCTAACGCTTAGTGCTTTGGGAACGAGGTTTCATCAGAAACAACTTTCTCTGGCATTCTGCGGCTGCGAGGCAATCTCGCAAATAAGGTTACCCTTCACTTTGATAGTGCTTGCGGAAGCACTGCAAAGGTCATAGAGGCTTGACTGAATCGTAATAAAATCGTAATAAATTTCAATCTGTTTTCAAGTTTCATAAACTCTTTTTGAATTTATATAGAAAAATTTTTTATAAAAGTTGTTGATTTTATAAAATTACTGTTTTTTATCTTTTCGACTTGTTTGCAAATTTAGTTTAAAATTTCCGTCCGCCCCCTACAACTTGTTTACCAAAGTGCACCCGGTTGCCGCCCCTGGCCCTCAGTACCAAATACGCGCCGGACGCGCGTCTGGTAAGGGAACCACATTTCCGTTCTCGAGAGCAGTCCGCGGGTTTGTTTTGTGTTTAATTTCGTCTGTTCATCGAGTTGCGGTCATGATAAATTTATACTTATTGTGAGTCTGTAACAGGAAATTGCTCGACCGCTGCATCAGGCGCTTATAAAATATCTCCCAGCCACCCTGCGTGAGATGACGGCTCGTGTTAAACCGAAACCGGTGGATGAATCCCATGCACTGGGCGTGGATGAATGGCAGCAAGTATTCGCCCATCTGGACACGATGACGCGGACCTCGCTGCGCGCAGCGTGTCCCATATGGACCGCTGTTCTTGACGCGCCTATTTTGACGAACAACATTCTCATCGACACCAGCGCTGAGCCCGGAAATTTTGACTACATCCTAACGGGGCCTATCTTCAAATGCCTGCGTCCTTCCACTAATCGCATTATCATCCACGACCGACAGCAGGGCAGTATCGGTTTACCGAAGTTCTTCGCCATGTTGGACATAATCCATTATGTGGCGCGGCTCATCCCGGGATCCATCTGACGGTGCTGTACGTGGTAGGCGTCACGGACTTGCGGTCCAAACTGGGCCATGAACACATTTTCTCCGGATCCATCTGGCATGAGTTCTGCGGGGTGCATAACGCTGAGATGCCGCAGGATCTTACCGCTGGCCACCTGGATGATTTCACCGCAGCATGCCGCGGTCTGCCGTGTGATGTCTTGCATCTGGTTCGCTGCACGTGGCTATGAGCGTGAGCGGGCGGCTAATGAGCATTCTGGCCAGTACGCCGCTTCCACCACAGTCCATTTGATTTAGGGCATTGCCCGTTGACGGGCATTGGTGTCTGGAAACGACAAGGTGTTTCGATTTTTTCCCCCAGCGATCGGCTACAGTTATTCGCTATCCCTTAATGTAATAAGCAACAAGGGACTTTAAAGCAGCGTTATAAACATAATTTGAACTTGTGTCTTAAGTCAATTAAGAACAATAGGTGCGCAAAAATCGCTAATTTCAAACTTTTTAAGCTTTTCAAGCTTTTTTTTATCGTAGGTCGTGCTAATTAACTAATTAGCGGATGAACAAATAAACCGGAGATAAATCAACAAGGTATAATTGATAGCGCTTTATTCAAAAATATCTAATATGGGTTCTTGAAGTTGAATCGTAGACGACCACAGTCCGTCAAAAACTTGTGTCGTCTGCCAACGCCAATGCCCATGAAGGGTTTCGAATGCATGGGCGGGTGCGATTTCGACAGCTGTTCTCCATTATGTAAGTGGATTAAGTTACCGCCGGTTTGGATGCAAAATATGCGCCACGCGATTCCGGTGTCGCAAGCTGGTATAAAACGCTTTTTTTGACCAACACCCTGGGCGGTTGGCAACAAAGCAAATATTGCTTTCAAAGTCCGTGTTTATCGTGTGAACTGCTATGTTTTGCCCCTGCCAACTAAGTGCCCAACAGGCAACAGCCGATTAGTCATCGAATGTACGAGTAGTCATGGTGTTATCAATATACCAGTCATAAACCAGATGGCGGTCACCCGAGCACGTGGCGCATTGGCCATCCAGTGCGTGCAGTTTCACGTTTTTGCTATAACTGTTGCAGAACGAGATTTTTGTTGTGTCTGCTGTTTGCTGCTGATAACTTGATATTTCTCACTGTTTTTTTTTGGCAGCACTACCTGTGTCTAATTTCCTACTCTACTTCCTTGTCAATGTGGATTAGTTTTCTTTATTACAGTAATTCCCGCCAAGGCACGTAGTCAGGTACGGAGAATATTCGAGCAGTTTCCGAAGTAACGATAAGTACTGTACTGTTTGCCAAGAGACGGCAGCCCGTGCTATCACGCAGAACACCTGAAGCAGTCATTGAGCCCGATAGTTTTTTGTCTCCATAGACTTGTATGCTAAACTGAAGCACTTCTGTTTTGCATATTTGGGAACGAAACCAAGCAAATAACATTCCAAAAGAATTAGAAAAAATTCACGAGATTTTTGATACTAAACAAGTTCTGATTCATGGTGCAGGACACAAGTTATGGCCATTTATGTTTCTCGTAGACACAGCATAGAGTTTGTGCGTGGAAGTTGGAACCCAACCGTTGATTCGAATTCTATGCTATGTCTACGAGAAACGCAAAAACTATAACTTGTGTCCTGCCCATGAATCAGAACTTGTTTAGTATCAAAAATCTCGTGAATTTTCTAATTCTTTGTTATTCTTGGTTTCGTTCCCAATAAAAACAGAAGTGCTCGATTAGCATACAAGTCTATGGAGACAGAAAACTATCGGGCTCAACTGCTTCAGGTGTTCTGCAGCTATCTCTTGTGGCTAACCGTGTTGCACAGGCGCGGGCACAGATAACGAGCTCTGTTACCCATTGCTCGGGTGCATCGAGCTGATTTACCCCCTCCTCGTACATACAAAAATTAAACTCGGATTATATTAGGCAAAGGTCTGATTTCATCCTAAATTGTTTCTTTTAAAAATTGGGCAGGTTTTGATGATGTCCTGAAAAGAGAAGTCTGAAATTACCTTATCATAAACTAAAAATTGCAGTTGTTCAGCAAAGAGCGTTAATGTAACTAACGACTGTCTAACGTTGCTGTTTCGGGTTGAGGGGTGGTCTCTAGTTTTTCTGCTACCGAACTGCTGTATTCTGGTAACCGTGTTCGATCAATACGAGTACACGGAATTTCGGCGATTAGGCACGGAACAATTTTCATGAAATTCGTAAGCAGGGATTTTGATAGTAAATTTCTGGCCAGCCCTTCAGAAGTTTATCTGGTTCAACACTGACTCTGCAAGCGCAGTACATTAGCTACTGTAAAAAGCTAAAACTGGAATTTTTTGGTGCAGTCCGTAATGCCAAAGGTTAGATTAAAAATCCCATAAAAATTAATTAAAAAACCATCATTTTTTCGGAAAGTTACAAACTGTTCTGATTGCATAACTCTTCCCGTGAATGCACGATGTCTACAACTTTTTTTTAATCAAAGTAGACATGCTCTAGATAGAACACTGGAGATTTTTCAAATAGTACGTACTGGAAGGAAGTGCTACGAAATTCTGGGTTTTGAGACCAAGGACACGAAAAAAAATCACCCGATTTCAAGTGGCTCCAGTACAAACGAGCACGACTAAACACTTTTAAGAACGCTTTGTTGATTTGATAGTCGAATAAATTCTCTATCAAATAAGCTTAAACAGTTCGCGGTTCGACAACGGGCCCGCAAGAAATAATAATGTTTCTGTTTGTTTTTCTTAATGTTTCGGTCGTTGCGCTTTGTTAGAAACCACCCGGAAATCCGTCAGTATCCAGCCATGTTTTCAAAGCGGACCAGCTATGTCAACGTTCTGGGTGACAACAACACTCTGTTGTATGGCCGTGTGGTGGACGTGGCGGACAACGGGCTCTATATGGACCTACTGTGCTCCGGTCGTCGCCGCGAATTCTTTCCTTTCCACAAACTCGCCTTGTCACAGCGCACTGAACGCACATCACGCGATTATAGTGGGATGTTGGACGGAGAGTCGGGGGAGGCGGTCTCTGTGGAAGTACTGCGCCGTGATGATTCTAGCGGTGCATGGCGCTGGTGGCCCGGGAAAGTGATGGCGCGGCAGGCGCCGGGCCCATTATTCTGGCGTACGTACTGGGTATGCTGCAGTGTGGCGGTCGTCCAGGGGGAGGAGGACATGGCCGTCACGGAAGACCGACCCGCCGTCACCTGGACGGAAATCTTCTCTAAGCACCGCATCCGCTGGCCCGTGCCGAGCACTTGGTGGACGATGGAGCACCATAATGGTGCAATGGTGCCGAATACGACGCTGCCGCTGCGTATTGAACAGGGACGATTTGTCAAGCGCAGTATGCCGTTGCCGGACGACTGTCGTGGGGCGTCAAAAGCACACCTGCAACGGGTGATGGAGGAAGAAAAAGCCTTCAAAGGTCAGGTGGACTGCATCGATGTCATGGATGCGCAGCTGCAGTACATTGTGCTGCTGGACGATGGGGTCGTGCTTCCGCTGCCTGAAGATGCGAGGCAGGTATGTGTCTCGGTCTCATGGTTCCGACTCGGAACTTCCGTGTAAGGCGTGTTTCACGGACCATATCTGGTGCGCTTGGTGTTACTCGGTTTACCGAATTTTTCTTGCAGGAAATAATTCAGCCATTACATAATGTATTGATTCAGCGCCTCCCCGGCATCCTGCTTGAAGCCACGGCACCGGTTGAACGCAGGCTTGTTGACGAATCGCGTGCGCTGGGAGCCGATGAGTGGCTACATGTGTTCTCCAATGTGGACACGATGACGCAGACCGGGCTGCGCGCGGTATGCCCTTTGTGGAACTCTATTCTGGATGCTCCTACTTTGGCCACCAACATTATTGTTGAGACGAGCGTTGGCATCGGGAATCCACTGGAGCGGCAACGCAGTGACTATGAACTAACGGCGCCCATTGTCAAGTTTCTGTGCTCCTCAACTAAGAACATTATCGTTCGCAGCTTTGGTAGAATCCGGGCGACGGATACAACTTTGGGGGAGTTTTTCACCGTGTTGGACGTCATCCACCAAATGGCGAAGGCTCGGCCCGGGATCCACCTGAATGCGCTCTATGTGGTGGGATTCTCCAATTTGGTCTTAGATCAACGCGATGGGCCGGAGAACGTGACGCATGAAAGCTGCACAGTGCATAACCCGGACAGCGTGGATGGTAAACGGATTGTTTCCTATGGTTGCTTGGATGATTTCATTGCAGCTTATTGTGGTCTGCCGTGTAATACCATCCATCTGGTCCGGTTCAACATGAACCTGCAGTACGAGCTGATGCGCTATGCTCGAGAACCTATGCAGCTAAACGTCGTCATCCCCAGGGCGCGTGTGCCGCTGAACGGTAACTGCGCGTCTGCAGTGTGGGAAGCGTTGGAGGCGACGCTGCCGGCACCAAGTAGGAATGAGTTGCGGGCGCTGTCAAAGTGGTTAGCGGAGATCCTGGCGGGGAATGACGGTTGGCACTGGGTGCATCGCAATGGAGTTTGCAAAGTAAGAGCCACATCTAAATAAAAGGGATTGACAATTGGGCACGCACTTCCAGTACTTGCCGCACTCTGTCACCCGGTGTTGTACGTTGTGGACTTGTGGTTAAACATCGCTAATGTAGATCTACCGGACCTGATTCAACCATACAGCTTAGGACCAAAAAGACGCATAATCCCACCCACAGCATTCCGAACGCATGCGGCGGCTGTACGACTCAGCTAAAATATCCGGTTGTCGTAAAGTGCACTTGCCACATGCGTACGGATATCTTTGTATGAGGTTATTCGTCTTTTTAGTCCTAAGCTGTACAGGTATGTATTGCCGCAACGCCACACGCCAGCCAGATAATTGCAGCGAGTACAGAGATGCCTTGCGGCCCTTGCCTAAGCCAGTGACAGTCCCTTTTGGCAACTCCTGCGAACATACCGAATCACTGCCACCCCGTTTTCATGTTGCCAGCAAGATTTTCTTCTGGTTTGGTTTCCGATTAAGTCGTCAGAAAAATTCTACATTTGGCTGCGAGTCGGTTATGGTTAGATCCAGTAAATGACAAGGAAGAAATCAAAGGCAAAATGCGCGAACATGTCTCTTCAGGACGTCGAATAACGGGGTTGCCGGTTGTACGCTAAAACCCTAGAGTATCTCTTTAAAATGGGTGTTGGGGTCATCGTTCGGTATTAAAAACTATACAAAAACTTCATTTTAAAGCAAAATTAGTATTTCTTTAGGAAAAATTTATAATGTCTTGGTTTTCTTATTTTAAAAGTTTGGCCAAAGCGTTCCAGAAAGATTTTTTATAGGCCTGCAGGATGATTGCCTGCTTTTATAAGAATTATACGCTGCAGTGTAATGATTATTATTTGATTTGCATAAAATGATAGTGCCAACGCAATGTGGCATTCGAGCTGCAATTTTGATAATGATTTTATGAAGTTTCTTGTGTAACAATGATGGCCCGACATCTCACGTTTCCCAAATCTAAAGCCAGTTTCCGTTACACTGTTTAAGTCGGTGACCGTTCGCGGAATCCAACCCGTAGCAAGCCAAACGTCTGGGAGCAGTAGCTGAAATTCCCAGTACTAATGATATGCTCATTATGGAATAGCACATGCATAATGCGGCACAGTTCCGGCAAGCTATTAATTTGTTCCCACAATTGACAAGTGCGCCGGAAGCGCACCCGGTCATTGGTGTTCAGTAAATGGACGATTTCTTTCAGAATTGCCGGTGGCAGCAGTGCTATGCGGACCTCGTCATACTTTGCGGGTTCCTCTCTGTGGTCGGATTTTCAAGGGATTCCTAAGCGTTCGGGCTGTGTGCATCTTGGCAGATGCTGTCGCGGTAGATTTTGAAGGATGTAAACATCTTTCTCCTTGTCGTCCTTTACACAACAAACACTTGATGTCGCTTAATTTCATCAGGGGAATTTCCTTCGCACGAAAGTTGCAGTTATTTTGTTGTTACAGAATCAGACAGTTGTAGTTATTTTATTTTTACAGGTATTTTGTTTTTACAGTGACATATAGTTTTTGGTTAATATGCCAAATAGTGACATACAGTTATATAGCGTTTTTTGGATATTACATGTATGCATTTCGTGCCTGTCCGTCAAACACACCTTCGGTTCCTAGATTCTGAACTTAACTTTCTAAGTGTCTTGATTTTTCTGAATGGTTAGGTTATCACAGTCCAGATGGCATGAAATTCCCTTCACTCTTGTGCGAGTTTACTACCGTGTCGCTTTTTCATACGGTACTCGGGTAGAAAATCGCAGGTGTGCAGTTTTTACGTATTTGGAAACTTTGGTATGTTGAAACGAACAGCGAGAGAATTAGTGCATAACACTCGCAGTCTATTGTTGTTAGTCTAGATTCGTCTAGGTTCGCTCGCTTATAGTCTACATCTACTCACCTGCATACCATTAAAATCAGGGTGGTTTTAAAAATTTTTAGTTGCTTTTTTTATTTCATGGCAGCATTTTGAAAGAGTAAAGTAAAAAGTATTGTAACGGTGCATGCACGAAAGCAGTGCAACACACTGCAACTAAACCAGCCAGACACTGACTTCGTAAACTCAAATCTGGTACAGATAAAAACGAAAAAAGCTACATAAGATGTCGGATCATGCCGTATGTGATATAGTAGTATTAACTGATTGTGTCAAGTGTCATTTGTGTTGATTATTGAATTTATTGTCAAGAGCCACCTGTACAAGTATCGACAATACTGTACAATATAGGCATTAGGTGGATGTGTTAGTCTGCAGCAGTTTTGCGGCTGAGTGATGCCCTTTACCGTATTTACAGTGCTAGTGATTAGCTGACTAGTGTTACTGCCAGAAACTGTTACCACTTAACAACTTAACAATGACTGGAAGAAAAAAAATTTACTTGTTACGCCTACAGTTTCATAATGTGGGCATGTTCGTCGTTATACTCTTTACTATTAGACATTTCATCGATCGATTAACCACTGTTTGTACGATATTTAAGTCGAAAAGTCTGTTTGGTTAGTGGCTTAGCATTAAATTGCAGTCTGATTAAACTCGCGATCGAAACTGTTTAATTGGTTTCATGCATTTTCTTCGTACATAAATTATTTTGGACAAAAGTCGTATCTTTGGATTTAGCTGTACCCTGTACGTAGAGAGGTCTTGTTTTTGGATCTGACCATGAGTAGGCAACGTCGCATAATAGTCGTAGACAATGGATTGATTGTTGCGGTTACGGCCATTTTGAAGGGAAGAACGCTCAAGTGCTCCTGTCTTCCTGTCAATCAGAGAGCATGGAAAGTACCATAAACACTTCATGCACAATAGGTTAGCTGCACCTTTTACAACACCGAAGAAATCTGTCGAAACATGTTAGACCGAGCGTTTAATCGTAACACTGTCTCCGCCGTAAGTTCAGAATAAAGGTAAACGCGACATCATAAATCGTTTGGGCTGCGAGGCGTATGTGTTTCTGGTATACTTAATCGGTGATAGCCTGTTAGGCATCAGCAGCTAACGGAGCATCAATAATACCGGAATAAGCTTTGCGTATAAATTATAATAATTTCTCATCACCTGCATCAATCACATGGCGCCTTTTTTCTCTTGCGACTGTCTACTAAAGGTCTTTCTTTATGGACCATATACGTTTCGCTGGTTTTATCGAATTTGTGTGCTTTTGGGATTCTTAACCTTAGCGAGTGGTGAGCTCCAACATCAATTTTTGTTATTCGTAAAAACTATTTAAATTTAGTCGCCGTAGAAGCATATTAAAAGTATAGTAAATTACTCTCTCCATAATAACGTGCTGTATTTAATTTTTAGCGAGTACGCCGAATGAACCACAAAATGCCCCGGCAACGGCAGCCCCAGGTGTTCCACCTGAAGCTACCAAACCTCCCGCGCCACCGCATTGGGGCTATGTTGGAAAAGGAAATCATACGGAAGGTCAAAAACGATCAAATGCGTTGAATACTTTTGCTAAATATGTTCTGTTAATAAGGCTATCCCATAAGAAATATAATTAAATTGTTTTTACAGTTTTTTTTAAATTTACAGTTTTCGGCATTATTCGGTAAGTTCATTTTCTTATTTGTATTAGATCTTTTACCGGATACGTGGTCTAAAGCATATCCGATCTGCGACGGACATCGGCAGTCACCGATTGCCATTGAGACGCGTTTCATCGTCAATGATCCGGCGCTGAAGCCGTTCACGTTTGTTCGTTACGATGCTTCCTCGCGCAACGATAACTGGACGGTGGTCAATAACGGTCACGTTGGTACGCTCGTTCAAGCGATGTAGCATTCAATCACCGTTAAAGATGATTAGAAATCGATAAATGACTTTTCACCGGTTGTCATTGCAGCGCAGTTTAGCGGTCATTACGCAACTCCACCTGAGATCCGCGGCGGAAGTCTGGGAGAGGATTACGTTTTCCTGCAGTTCCATTTCCATTGGGGAGCGGTGAATACGCGCGGCTCCGAACATGTGATCGATGAGCAGCGTTTTCCACTTGAAGTTAGTCATGTTGTTTTCTTTTCCCTCTCCAGCATTGTGTACTGTATTCATTTGTTTCAATGTGCAGCTTCACATTGTCCACCGGAAAAGTGCGTTTTACGACAGCGAAGCGGCCGGGGATTCCACAGGGTTGGCGGTGCTGGGCATTATGTTCGAAGTATCGGAGAATCCTGTGGACACAAATGATCCCCATTTCGTGCATATTAATTCCATGATCAGCGCCCTTTCCGAGGTCACCAATCCCGGTAACGCGTAAAACATACAATTCAAGTGTTTTATCGCTAAAATTGCATTTTTTCCATGTTGCTGTAGATTAGATATTTTATGTAAAATGCAATCAAAAAGTTTTACTTACGTATTTGGGCCAAAAAAGATAAGACGCATACTGTAGTTTATTGCTGTGCTTCACGAAAATCTAAAGGCGTGTAACACTTTTGTGTTTTATAAAAACATTATTTATAAAACATTAATTTTAATACTGCATTTTCATGTAGGCTCATATAACATGGCTTTTTTATATTTCTGTCTAACTATCAAATTTAATGACGATAAAAATATGTTACTGAAGTGATGTACATGCGCGCACGAAATGTACTAAAATGAATTTTTGGTTGAAAGGTCAATCCCACGACGTGATCTTGAAAGGCTTCCGCCTTTTGGACCTTCTCCCGTCATCCCCGGTTTACTATCGTTACCTGGGTTCGCTAACCACTCCCCCGTGTGCCGAAGCGGTGATCTGGACGGTATTCAAAGAACCCATGCAGATTACGCAAGCCCAGTTAAACATGTTCCGCAGTCTACGGGAACACCCGGGTATGAATGACACTACCAACGTCTTGGTTGATAACTTCCGCCCGGTACAGCAGCGCAACGGACGCGAGGTGAAGGTGTACAGCGGACAAGTACTGACAACGACTACCAAAGGTCCCTTTCTGACTACGGAAGTGGCGGTGACGGAACCCACACATGGTCACCCGGCGGACATAACGGCCGCGCCGACAACGACGACGGCAAAACCGGAAGATGCACGAGGATCCGGTTCGCGGACTGCCGAGATCCTCATCCTTCCGCTTTCAGTGTATTTACTTTTCCTTGTTGCGGTCGCGTGAGATCGATCCCGAACCGTGGTTTTAAGATTGCCGTCTTTTTTGTTTTTGTTCGCTATTCCATACTAAGTTCAGTCCCTCTCAAACTCCGGTTTTTATCATAATCATCTGGCACCATTTTCCTGATTCATTAGTTCCTGGAATTCATTGCGTAATTTCATTCATCTCAATGCAGTAAGCGGGCATAGCAGAACTATAATTATTGATTGCGTTCCCAGGATGTATAGCTTTCACTGTGCGTAATATTTTTATATAGCTTACGGTGCGTATGCTATATAAAAATCCATAAATTCTATCCCTAATACAAATTGAGTTTACTGTATTTTGCGAAATTTGCGAACGAACGTATCATTAAACAGCGACGGGAGTTCTTGTAACGTTTACATACCGAAAGAGAAAACCGAGAGTCTGAATTTTAATTTTAGGATTAAGCATTATGGTACGCGCTCTATCATACTTCAATGTCGAGTCACTCGCACAAAAGCATAAATTACCAGAAATAAACATAAACAGCACACTGCATGTCCCACGCACCATCAACGGCAGACGACACAGGCAATGCTAACTGCTGACTAAACGTTGGGCTGCCATTTTAGCTTTCCATTGCACCACATCGCCATGGACAATGATAAACTCCTTAAATTCGGCAATCGTAACAACCTGCTGGAATGTAACGACCATATGTTCATCTGCCGAAGATTCTCTCACGTTCAGATAGAAAGCCATCTGGATCTGATCGCTTTCGCCATGTTCACCCAGCAATAAAACCCTCTGCCAGCGCTGCAGAATGTCGATAGCACGAATAATGTCTTCCGAATTCCGACCATCCCTCTGTTCATCGTCATACCACTTCAAGCGGAACTGGTTTCCATCAATCCCCCTAATGCGAGCGGCGTGCCAGTTTTCGTTCTTTTTGGCGAATACTTTTTCCCCACACTGAAAGGCTGTGGGACCAATTTGAAAAACCGTAAGGCGCGCGGTCGGTTGGCGCGGTTCGGAGGCAAAATAAAGAACCGGCTTGTTGGTGGCATACTTAAACTTGTCGATGTCCTGCATCTCGTCCTGCCTTAGGAGACCCGTCTATCGGAAAAATCACATATTTACTGAATTTATATCACGCTAATTATTAAAGTCCGATGGTAAGGGACTTCTTGGCGCTTGAAGCTTGAAAGTTTCAAAAGCGTTGCGCTAAAGAATGTCGCTTAAGGAGGCAATATGTTGTGTAAAATCATCCGCAGTAATGGCCGGAAATTGCTTCACTTTTTAGTTACTACAGACGTTCTCTTGGGAAAACACAATCACCGAAAACACGAACTCGCAAAATCGCAAAATCCTACGCGAACGAAACTGTTTAAAATTCAGCAAGGTCAAACTGTAAGCTGGTTATAACGTTCACATTTATTCATTCTGCCGCTGTGCTGTTCACAATTTTATGAAAAGTTTAAGAAATTATTAAATCTTTATAAAAAGCTTTTATTTCGATTTTGCCATGCATCTTGACCGATTCGAGATTTTAAGTTCCCATTTTAAATACTGACTACAGAGCACAGACCATGACTGATAATCAAGTTAGCGTGACTGTGCAAAACATTTTTGCTGTCAGTACTGTATATGACCGTGTAATTACTGCACAAATTGCGACAAAAATTTATGTTTCGTTTTAAATAATTTTTAATTTACACTAGCTCGCAATCGCATTGATCACGCAGGCGCTTATCTGTGCGTACTCAATGATCTTGATTTACGCCCACGAGATTTTGTTGCTGTTGCGTCTGTAGCCGGCAGGAAGGTTGACGGGTTGATGGTTGATGCTCAATGAAGGTCATCAACCTTTCTCTAAAGGTCATCAACCTTTTTGATCAACCTTTTCTAAAGGTCATCAACCTTCCTGCCGGCTACATGCGTCCACTGCGTGCTGTTGCGTTGCGTTGCTGTTAATGCGTTGCGTTGCTGTTGCGTTTGGACTCACTGCGTCCTACGCAGTGTGCCAGTGCGTGGTGATTTCATTAATATTCAACACTTGAATCACTTCACGCTATTTTTTATGGAAAACCACTCCTATTCTTTGAATGTACTTTGAATGCCGTTCCGTCTTACCGAAATCTATGCGCTATCTGTGCCGGTGCGGCATTACCGGAACGAATAAATATTTGAATCATTTCGGTAATTCAGTGCTCATTTAGAAAGCTCTGTCATTGCAGGCTCATAGAAGAGGAATATCTGCGTTTGTACGACAAGGAACTGTCCAATCGTGTCCGTACTTTGTATGGGCCGCACGCCAAGCGAGCATCCGACATCAACGGAAACCGAATATAGTACAGTGCCGATCCCAGCACGTGGCGGCGATTGGCCGGTGTTCGTTCAAGACCGCGTACTGTACAGGCACATGCCGCCCACCTTCAAGATGAATACAGATTTCACTATCAGATTACAGTCGTCCCCAAAGACGACAATAGGTCGCCTCCACAGATTTCACTGCTCTACCTTTCAGCCGCCTTGTAGATAATATGCTCTTCGGCGGCTAACGTATTCCGGGACAGAATCATCCTCAGCATCTCTTGGTCGATGCTTATCCACTGTAGCGATTGTAACACGGCTTCGGTTGCGGTATCCTTAATGTGATGGGCATTAAGATGTCTCACCTACCGCACCGATAATCTGTACATTATGATGACCACGCGGTCCACCCTCACGAATGCCTCGAAATGTGCCTGACCAGGCACCATACGAACGGCATAAATTAGAGTTACGAAGTTATTTTGCCGAAGTACAGTCGGCAAAATAGCATGTACAGATCTATTTTGCCGTAGATCTGTAGATCATTATTTATTACTAGCGGTGGTTGTTAACCAGATTATTGCACGAGCGCGAGCGCCAATTCCACTGAGTACTGGGGTTGTGGAATTGGAAAAGTGAGCCATGACGCTCTTCGTGGCGTCATAGTGCAGTGGTCGGCAAATTCATAGGAAAGAGAATATTATTTCGCCGCGTATACTGTGACCACCGACAACAAACTGAAGTCAGTACTTACATTTCGGAGGACAGTGAGGCAGTTCTTCACATTTAACTGAGCAATAACAAATTCCGAGCACAGATCATAAAGTCCCGGAAAACCGAACTTTATGGCGCAGTACATGGTTTGGAAAACATTGTGGCCATTCAGACATTTCACGGCGTCCGTGTAAATAAAACTGAAAGGAAAACGAGCAGAATCGACATTTACATTTGAACGGTAAGCCACGGCAGAATTTGTTATACGAGTAAAAATTCGATAGAAAACAAATAATCCCAACAAAACACCTGTCACCCGGGGATATACCAGGAAGGGTCATCTTGTAAAAGCTGCAGAGTCAATTGTGTTTGATTGGTCACCCTGCTCTGCATTTTACAGTCCAACATTCACGTTTCACACCAGTATTTGCAAAACAAAATTTCTGAATTTCTTCCTGCCCGACGAAAAAAACTCGAAAACGGCCGAAACAAATTCGAAAATCTGGATAGGTCAATGTAACAAAGTGACACAGATGCCTTTATTAAAAGCGCGTCTACTATACGGGAATACAGCGCCGGGTGGAGCAGACGAAAAAAAACTTCGAAATAAGTTGTTTAGCAGCTAGTAAAACAAATTAAAACAAAATAATGCAAAGTGTGCTGCACAATTCAGTACCGTGCTATACCATACACGCGAGCTATAATAATTGCATGCCGAAAAACGGTGACTGCTCGCTCCGCCCACTCATCACTGTAATACGTACGAAATGGAATTTTTACTCACATCAGCACCTCTATAACATCACTTTATTTTAAAAATAATTGGGAATTAGTAGTTATAAACCTTATAAATTACCTGAGCATATTACTGAAGGCCTCCGGAAGTATATCTGGAATATCGATAGGAGCGTCTCCTGTATGTGCCGTATTTCCGAAAAACATCCGCTCAAAGGCTTCGCTGCCGATGCTCAAGATCAGCCTTCAAAGTACTAACAACCTTAGATACAATTCGGCGCTGAGACAATTTCGTACAGTAAAAAATATAAGTATCTTCGTACTTATGTGCCTGGAACGTCTGCACATGCACTTTCCCGTACTGACGGCCTACAGTAAACTGGACATCACTGTGCTTCTCACTGGTCCATGTGCTCCGTAGACGACTGACAATGCCCAAAGTGGCTTTTTTGCTGCTGGACATCTTATGGAGTCTTTGCTTTCCAACTGACAAAAATCCGAGTACAACATTAGAGTCATAAAGTGTCCTGTAAGATATGTGTCAAATTTAAGAAGACATACAGTAAAGGCAATATGTTGCGAAATGAAACTGGGACTCTTAAAAAATATTAGCAGCTGTAGGTGACATAAGCCATATCAGGAAAATGCTGATGGCGCCAGACGGCCAGTACTACGATTGTAATAAACCTTACAGGCATTACGCATTCCGTATTTTCCCACCTGTCTACCTCTTCCAGACCTCTCTATTTTGTGCAGCATGTAACCATGAGCATTGCAGCTACAGTAATGATCATGGATGGTTGCGATAACATCTCACCGCTTGCTGCTGTCTTGATGCACCTCCCGATACCCAGCGATGCGCGAAAGAAGAGAGAACCCTGTCGGCAATCTGTACATGTGCCGAAACTCCGACATAGTCCAGCACAGAGCACTTACTCTCCTAGTCTCACATGTGGATTAATTCAGCCAGACCCGCCGCCGACGCCAATGCCCACTGTCTTCTAATTCCAGTTAAAAGCGGCTTTAACCAAACAAATGATTTCCTAATGAGCATAGACCATAATGGCTTCTCTTGAGACTAGACGAGCTGGAGAGTCACAGTCTATTCCACAGTCGAAGTCATTCAAAACACATTTAGAATGCCGGCTTATATTACTTTGATTGCACCGGTTGGTATTGCCGCATGGGGAAAGACGTAGACCGTTCCGATCGTTCTGTGTATTGTGTGCACTACGCTGTTGACCACTGACCAGTAATGACTGCACTCGTACTCGGGCGGGTTGCTGTACGAAACCGTGGAGCCTTTCGTGGTGGACTCGCACCGACGAAAATAATTAGTTAAACAAGAAGAGCGAAAATTATGAATAATCGAAGATTTATCTTCCTGGGCGTTTGGGTCATCTCCTGTGTGGGGTGCCAGTTACCGCTCTCGCATTCAACGTCATACGTGCGCCAAAGCGCAGATCTTGACTGTCTTTCGTAAATGATATTAGCCAGAATGCAATCCGCTCAGTATTAAGAAACCTTGATATCGAATGGACAATATAACAAAATAGGATGGAACAACTTAGTACGATCATAATGAAATTTTTTCGGCAGTCTTTTAATCACTCGTACTAACTATATCAATGGCATTTGTTTGGTAATACAGATTTTACAGTATGAAGATTCAATAATTATTTGTGATTTTTGCTTTTCTTAACAGTTGACCACTTTCGCAGTTTTGCTGCATATTGAACAAGAGATTCCCAACGTTCTCAACTTCCAGAAGGTCAAAAAAGTTTAGTACTTAATATTCATCACTTTCATTTCAATTTTACACATAAAGATGCAATCAGTTGTGCTGTGTGTCTGCGTCAGAGTTTTTACTAAGCACATTAAATTCTTTTTTTCGTGCGTGTGATTGGCACAAGTATTCACAAAATCAGACAAAATGTGGTAGCTACATAATATCTAAAAACCAGTATTGTTGAAATTATTGTATCCTAATTCCTGGAATGCAAAATATACAGCGAAAGTGATCAGGATAGCTGATGGGGCCAATTAAGTCGAAGAACACAGTAAGTCACTACATATAGATCCTACGAACCTGAGAAACGTAAATTTATCGCGCAACCCATACTTAATTTGCGCTCAGTCAACAGTAGTATAGAGGTTAATAAGAAAACATTAACACAGTAGTAGAATCCATCAACAGAATCAAAAACAGCCCTTCGCCTCTAGCAGACGACGCGCCTCCACCTGAGCTTTCCAAAGCAGTACGTAGTGATGGATAACCACCAACTCGCGGAACGTGACATCCCTCACAGCATCCGGATGCGGGATCACCACGCGGTGCTCATCCTCCGACAGGCTTTTGACATAATACCCCTCCTCATTCTCCCCGCGATCATAACCCAGCACCACCACCTCCTGGCACTTCTGCAGGATATCCGCGGCACGCACGATCTCCTGCGGACTGCGGCTCTCCACCAGGCCACCCTCCGCCCACTCAACCAGGAACTCAGGCTCGTCAATTCCATGGATGCGTCCCGCATGCCAGTTATAATGCTTCTTGGCAATCACTTGTTCTCCAAAGTGATACACGTCCTCCCCAATTTGGAAAGCTGCTGGACGCTCGATGGGACGGCGGGGTTCGGCGGGGAACGCAATGGCCGGTTTTTCAGTGGCATGTTTGTACCGGTAGATATCCCGCATTTCATCCAAGTACAGCAAACCGCTCTACAAAATATTTTTAAATTTCAGATTGTTCTGCTTTTAAGTTTTAGTACGAGCACTTCAACGTTTTTCGCACTCCGCAAACTTTCGCAATATGGGTTCGCGTACCGGGCAGCAAAAACACGGTGTTCTCTGCGTTGTTTCACTTTGGAAAGTTTGATGTGTGCAGTTTGATGCATTTTTTATTGAACTCGTGCACAAGCTAGCATAAAACAGTGGTTACCAAGTAATCAATTTTAGAATAGCTTTGTCATCTGGAACAACGCGGAAAATACCGTGTTATGGTGCCCCGATACGCGAACTCTTTATCGTGAAAATGACCGGAAGGCGAACAACGTCGAAGTACATATAAAATATAACGTCGTCGTCGAAATATATATATATATATATATATATATATATATATATATATATATATATATATATATATATATATATATATATATATATATATATATATATATATATATATATATATATATATATATATATATATATATATATATATATATATATATATATATATATATATATATATATATATATATATATATATATATATATATATATATATATATATAAAGAAAATTAGCGTACTGTGGTGCCAAGTCAAAACAGAACTTTTTTTACAGTGAGTCGTGTCCGTTTAGCATGTAACTCACTGTACGGGCGGGTGCTGTTTCGACTTGGCACCACAGTATTTGGCATAGGTTGCCCGTCCTGGTGCATGTAGTGAAACGGATATGGACTACAATTGACTGCATTTTATACCTTGAGTGGGCCGTCCGTCAGTTGAACATCTGACATCTGCGGGTAGCGTATACAGTACAACGCCGGTCCAAGCACCTCACGCCGATTGGCCGGCGACGGATCCAGATCGCGTAAATTGCTGGCATTTGCGGCCCACCTTCAGAAAAACAGCGAAGATTCAACATGAGCTCAAAACTCCATCGGTTGTTATAGGTTCCACAAAGAACAGTTCAAAACCGAATTTTAAAAAATCGAAAGCCGAAACGTAATATATTTTAGTAAGCGCTAAAACCGGTAGTTTGTGGCGAATAAATACCAACTGTTCGTGCTATCAATTCGAGAATGTCCACTGCGGTAGCACGTGAATTCGCCGACCTACAATTCGCTGACCGACATGTTGCTGAATGCTGACTTACACAACTCGCTGACCGACAAACTGTTGACCGACCATTTGCTTTTCTGCTAAATTGTTGACCGACGCTTTACCGAAACATTTCGATACATTGGTTTTCGAGCTTTCTGACCTGGTAGTTGTTTTTTTTTTAGATTTCTTTCTTAGTGGTGTGTTCTTAGTTTTTTTAGGTTTCTTGGGATCCTCAACTCCGCAAAACGTCGTCAGCAAGTTGTACACAAAATTAAGTCGTCCAGTGATATGTCGTTTAACCATCGGGTTATCGTTTCGTCGGTCAGCAATAAGTGGCCAACAAGTTGTCGGTTGGCAGGATAGTAATCAGCGAAATGTCGGTGTGCCAATTCGAAAATGTCTACTGCTATCCACAATTAAAATGTCCAGTTAAAACGAATTCCGTAGTTTTCTCTTACTTCTCAACAGCCGCATAGATGAGATGCTCGTCAGCGGACAGTGTGTTGCGTGACACGACCATACACAGCGTCTCACTGCTATCAATCTCCAGAAAATGCTGCGACTGCAGAACGGTGTCGGAGTTGGTATCCACCATTTCCAAGCACTTCTCCACAACGGCGTTCAGATGTCGCACCTAGAAACGCCACGCTGCGATTTGCCCACCATGTCCAGGAACAAAAAAATCACGCACACTCTGCAGAACAGTCAGACAGTTGTCCACCGTGAGTTGACCGATGATGAATTCCGAGCACAGATCAAGCAGTGGCTGAATGTTGTATTTGTCAGCGCAGTACATGGTCGGGGCTACATTGTCGACGTTCAGGTTCTCCACGGTGTCCGTGTACAGAAAACTGCGAACGAGATAAGCAGCACCAGACATAAGGCCAATTCAAGCTAGCAAATGAAAAATTAAAGATAACATACATGGTTATTAGTTCAAATTAGCCAGAAAACAATTTTCTTGCGGTACTTAAAAGTGCCAATAATTGTAGTTCTCTGACAACACGCAAAGCCAAAGGGCAAATTTTCTTCAAAAGTAGAGAAAAAGTAAACTGAAAGGGTGCGGAAGAGGCATCGGCTCCTCTAATTCAATTCAAGATACAGCCATTCATATGATAAAAGCATTTCTATCAAAGTGCGTACCTGAGCATATTGAGGAACGCATCTGGCAGAATATCAGGAACATCAATGGGAAAGTCACATTTCTCTGGGAGGCTACCGTAGAACTGTCGATTAAATACGTCACTGCTGATACTCAGTAGCCATCTGCAAAGCAGCAAATATCAGTAAGCCAGGCAAACCATCTAGCTTTGCAAGACCCAGAGCCCACGAAAAACATGACAGACGATCGCACTTGTGTGCCTGTAGCGTCTTCGCCTCCCCAAACTGACGACCAACAGAAAACTCCACGTCATGGTGATCCCCACTGGCTAGCGCGCGCTTTAGGCGACTGATAATGCCTGTGGCTGCAACCGGTTCCTGGCTCGTTGACATGATCATCGACATATTTAATTCTTTGCAGTCTCAGAGAAAGCAAAGCACATGCTAACGACGAGGAACAGGTTTTTACAGATTTAAGAATATTCTGCAGCTGTGCACGACCATGCGCTAGTCGGTGAAAAACCTTCCAAATTCCTATGGAAAAATTGCGCAGAACAAATAACCTCGCAGAACAGATAACGCAGAACAAATAAATTCGCAGAGATAATTGACATAAGTCCTTGTAAAACTGGTGGGACTGTCCAAATGCGACGAGTTGTAGCAGTACTGGTTCACGCATATGCACGCTGTGGAAACTGCTTTCATGGTCGCTGCCGTCCATGTGGGCTTGACAGAGCGTTCTTGATTTTGTCTGTCCAAACTCCAAAGGCTGCTGTCTAACAGTCCAACTGCTTATCCATTTCACGTGATGCTGTACATAAATAAAATAAACTTGCCACTAAAATACAGCTGATCGGCTCGCGTATAGTGATATTTCTTCAAGTACTGATGGACTATGAAGTATGAACACCCGTTTTTGATTAAATTACAGCCCTCCCCCAACAAAGATATTACACAAATTAGGAAAATTAAAGATTATTTTACGGACAAAACCGCAGTTAAACAGTTTGCTTATCGCGAGAAGCACTCAACCGAGCTGCTTTTAACTTTATTTTGTCAAAAATTAGCAGATGCAAGAGCTCGTAATAAGCGTGTTGATGTTGTCTTGCTAGATTGCAGTAAAGCATTTGACAAAGTTGACCACTCAATTTTGCTTGAAAAGTTATCTAGGCTAAATGTCACGTCAGATGTTGTGAATCTTGTAAGTGATTACTTGTCAAATCGGATTCAGTCAGTTGTTGTGAATAACGTAAAATCTACGTTCTTACCGGCTACAAGTGGGGGTGCCCCAGGGTTCCCGTGTCGGACCAACTGCGTTCAATTGTATGCTTCATGACTTACCTAACGTTTGTGTCCATGGCACTGATATGATGATATTGCTGACGATGTAATGGCATGTAAGATTATTGAGTCAGATGTTGATGAGGTGGCATTTCAGAAAGATCTTGATGCAATTACTGAATGGGCACGTAATCATAACTTGATTTTCAATGCGACAAAGTCGGTGTGTATTAAGTTCTCATCTCGCGTGAAAGTTCCTCAGTCCTATCAGGTTAACGGGAAGAGTGTGCCTGTAGTAGAGTCGGCCAAGTATTTGGGCATCTATTTAGACCGTAGCCACAAGTGGAAGTTGCAGTCCGAAAATGTGTCTAGCAGAATGCTGAAGCGCTTAAGATACTTAAACATATTGTTTCCTGCTCGTGATTTGTCGGCACGCTGTGTATTGTATACCAGTCTTGTTCTTTCTGTTTCTGATTAGTGTGCTTCCGTAACATTCTCCACTCAGAAGGGTCTAATCGATAATACTGAAAACGTTCAAAAAAGATTCGTGAAGTCGTTGAATCTTAAAAGCGAAAGTAACAACTATATTGGAAGACTAAAAGAACTAGAATGGGAGCCGATCATACTGCGAAATCTAAAGCGCAGCCTACAGCTCACTTACAAGTTCATGTACAACTTAATTCCTTATGGTAACAAGTTATTTTGTAAAGATACTGCCGTGCGCTCTGGTGTTGCAGGTAATCGCGTCTTCAACAACGGATGGTCAAACACCCCTGCCCGATTCGTGCCACTGGATCAAATTTCGGCGGCCACCAACTGCCCCCATTGGACAGATCGTTTGCTTACCGGATGGCGAGAATATGGAATGATTTGGAGATTCCGGCAGAAGCTTATCAAAGTTTTGGTAGATTTTCTGCAGCTTTGAATCGAGTTAACTGGAAATCTGTCGTGTCCTTGAAAAAGTTTTACCATTCTGAACATGTGATTTTACTGGAAATGTAAATACTTGCGGAAATGCTGACCTGTTGTTGTTCTATGTTGTTCTATGCTTCTCTTTTTTTACTTATGGCGTGTCTGCTACCCCGAATTGGGTTTTAACCCAGATTGTGTGCGGACGTTAATGAATTAAACTTAAATAGTTAGAGCCTCCAAATTGTTATTTAAGCTGGTATGTTATTTACTACGATGCCACTATGCTTTCTATGTTATTTATTCATGCGAAAGTGTTATTTCTGTAAGCACTATAACAGGTTAATGCCAAAAATTTAACGGTATATGCACCGTTTACTTCCGCATAATATTGGCTAGTATGTACTAGTATTTGCGGCTTCATGTTGAAATGGGAAACCGGAAACGATATATCGGTGATCGACGGTACCCTTGCCATAGAAGTTAGAACATGGTCTCCTACAGCGTTTCACCGACGCACAGATTAAAATCTAGAAGCATATCTGGTCCACCCACTCAAACAGCTATTGGGATAACCATTCCAGTGACCATTACAGGTGATCACTGGTTCAAATGGGCCACTCTAGAGCAGAGGCACTGATATTCCAGCCGAAAATCCATTAACAAGGACAAGGACGTTTCTAAAGCTCTATTACAACTGACGCTGCCCAGATTGATAAACTATGTATTTTGCAGGTACTAAATTTCTTATACAGATATAAGAAATTCAAATTCATGATCAAAATTGATATTATGGTAACTCATTAACTTGTTGCCGTAGCTCAATAAGTTAAGGCTGTTTAGCTGTAAATGTGACGATATTATTTTTGATGTCGGGAATCATTTGAGCAGGTAATATGAATTGGCCCGATAAGAAAAAAATTTACCCGCAGAAGTAATAACGACATACGTACTTATATCCTTCCGAGCAGTGAACTAAATAATTTCAACGTTTCAACTGCATCCAACTGTCGTTAATTGTGCGCAAATTTTGAAAAACATTTGGATATAAGGCGGAAAATATTACGAAAAATTAATAGCAATAACTGTGAAGCACCCCGTGTACGCATGTTTGCACTTGCGTTGCCGTTAAATGTACGAGTAGAAAACTGGTGGACATTATGATACTAATTACTTGTATGTGTTCTTTTCTGGGGTAGTTGAAATCATGAAATGCTTGATATGAAACTCAAGTACCACGTGCTGCCACTTCAATCGAACGCGTTACCACAGGATGTCATAATTAACAAAGCACGCTATTTCTGCTGCCTTTAGCAAAGCTTGTGGAGCAGGATGTCCAAGTGTGCGCTGCGTGCGCAAGTTTTTACCACTTCGTACGCAATACTGGGCATCGTGTGAAAACTTTACGGTATCTACAGACGATAGACATCCGGTTGGAGGACGCTCAACGAACAACAACTTCGCTATATAAGTACACCAAAGTTCAGTTTAAAGGCACAGTCACTTTTCCTTTTCTTAACCAAAATTAGCCTTTTTGGTGAGAATTTCATTAAATCGTGTGATTTACTTTAAATAATAACCATGAAGGCAGCTTTGGTATTCCTTGCATTAGCCGGTGAGTCAATTTAATGTACTGTACTTCAGATTTACATTGCAAATATTTTACTGTATGTGGTTCTATGCCACTGTTTAAAAACATTTACCGACATAATGTTAATGCAGTCGTCATAACTCATCAGCCATATCAAAGGGGACTGACTGACTGACTGACATGTAAACTTCTGTGGCTTGTACACCGTTATTTGCTCACTGTTACATTATAGGCCTTGTCGCCGTTATGCACGCCCGCCCATCTCCGCAACAGCAAGGACCACCCCAACAAGGCAGTCAGCAACAAGGTGGTCAGCAACAATCTCCTCAACAAGGCAGCCAACAAGGCGGTCAGCAAGGACCTCCCCAGCAAGGAGGACAACAAGGAGGTCAACAGCAACAAGGGGTCAGCAAGGGCCTCCCCAACAAGGAGGACAACAAGGTAACCAGCAACAACAGGGTCAACAAGGTGGTCAGCAACAACAAGGTGGTCAGCAAGGGCCTCCCCAACAAGGAGGACAACAAGGTGGTCAGCAAGGACCTCCCCAGCAAGGAGGACAACAAGGTGGTCAGCAACAACAAGGCCAACAAGGTAGCCAGCAAGGACCTCCCCAACAAGGAAGCCAGCAACAAGGCCAACAAGGCGGTCAGCAAGGACCTCCCCAACAAGGAGGACAACAAGGTACCCAGCAACAACAGGGTCAACAAGGTGGTCAGCAAGGACCTCCCCAGCAAGGAGGACAACAAGGTGGTCAGCAACAAGGAGGCCAACAAGGAGGCCAACAAGGCGGCCAGCAAGGACCTCCCCAACAAGGAGGACAGCAAAGTGGTCAGCAGCAAGGAGGCCAACAAGGTCCTCCTCGCAATTAGTTTCAAGAAATTGTTTTTGTCGCATAATAATGAATTCTATGAGCGAATTCATTAGAATCATGTATGGCAGTTTTTATGCCACCCTCATTAATGTGATTTACCTTTGTATGCCATAGACACGAATACGCAAAGAGTGCAATAAATTTCAGTACAAATTACCGTTTCTGAGCCTTGGGTATGAAATTACGTATCGGGGGTGCTCTGGGTAGGAAGGTTCTGGCGCATTCTGATTTTGGAAGTTTTACAATTTACACTTTATGCCTGTTACGAACCATAGATAAAATGAAAACACACCTTTGTAAAAAAACCTTTGTAATATTGCGCTGCATAGTAGTTCAACTACTTTGGTTCCCTGTCTTTTTTCCGACAAATTCGTCAGAAATTCCTATTTACATGGAATGGGTGCCGGGCTACATTCAGGCAGTACGTAAACTTTATTTTAAAAAGTTACGGTATGCAAGTCTGTTTTTCGTTTTTGTGTTTTCTGGTGCAACTTTTAATCGTAAACCGAAAAGTGTTAAATGAAATCGTTCGCTATGAAAGAAAAGGGCGGGGCGAGAGTTTAGGGAAAGGGGTAGTGGCTTCTAATTGCGCCTGTTAAAATGTACCAGCTGACTTTTCGGGGTGGGCGATTTTGATTTCAGGTGAGCCAGAAGGTATCTGTTAGGGTCAGCAGAGGGAACTTACGTCATCAGTGCCCGAGATGACCTCGAGACAAGGCGCATTCCCATAGACTTGTATGTTAAGGAGCACCTTCGGAGAAGTACTGTTGCCAAGACCACTGGTACCATCAGACAAGACGTTAGTGCTCGAAAGAGAAGCAAGAAGGTCCCGCTAGGTGACCATGCTATCGTTTAAAACCTTTCAACCTCCTCCACTTTAATACTTGTCGGATGAGCATTATGAACTTGATTATTTCTTAGTAAGCAGTGCGATGTTCGCACCAAAAGTTACATTAGAAATGTGGCTCCCGTTCCCTGAGCCTCATCGTTTTCCATGAAAACGAAATTACCGAAGTTGCAACAGACCAAGCACTATCATGCAAAAATTAAAAAAATTAGACTTCGTTGGTAGAAGCACAGGAATTTTTTTAATTGCCCAAACTTGGCCCGGGCCGGCACCCCTGTATGCCGCAGTCCAACCATGCAAAACCCGGTGAGTCACCCATCCAGACGTTATTTGGGATTAATTTAACACCACTGATTCGCAACTGGTCCTGGGACAGGGCAGCGGAGATAAACGACGATAAGACAGAAACTTGAAATACTTGACAGTCTCGATACGTCGTAGCTCGCTCGACATTAGATATCGGTGTAGCGCGTAGCGGCTGCCGGTTTCCGGTACACTCCCTTGCGCAATCGACTCGAATACAGCATGCTCAGAACATGCTGCAGGTGGTCTGGTATGCCGTTCGTGGCCCCTTGTCATTCCCATGCGGCAGAATCAAACAAGCTGATAATTATAACTGCTTGAAAGTCTTACTGAGCAGTTACCAAACCTCTTCTCGCCGAAGACCAAAGAATCGCTGTGGATTCACATCTTTGCGCACTGCGTCATACCGCCATCCAAGGTGGCTAAAACATGTTCTACAAATAGCATGCTTCCATGTGTAACCGGGAAACCAGGTGTACCCCAGCGTGCGATCGCCATCAAAAATAACATTAGGAGAAACTTTCTTTACTGTGAAGATTTCCTGAGTTTGGCCACCCGGATTTATGTATGCCGTTGTGAGACCTTCGCGGGTCATGCAATATAACTTCCTCTTTTGAAGCTACCATGGTGTGACACTCAGCAAAAACATACCGATACAAAATACAGTTGCTTGTCACCGATATGTATGTAATGCGATCAAAGACGGGCACAAGCAGAAGATACTACGCATACGGGAGCCACAAAAATTAGCAATAATTTCAACCGGTAAATCCTAGGAAGAGAGATTTTATTTAGAGCAGGTTAACAAACTGTAAATCTGTAGGGTAAAACGCGCCGGCTGCGCGCATCCTGGATCAGTTTTTCTAACGTCTGAAGCACACCGCCACATAAATTACATAATATTATGACTTTGAGTCTTCACTGCAAAAATACGGCTTGATGCGGTACCAAATTAATACGTTATAAAATTACTGAAACGTATACTGTATCCGCTCGCACATCTTGAACCACAGAGTCCGTGTACGGGAAAAACACGCATTCAATATACACACTCTAACCGGGCAAAATGCACGACTACGAAATATTCCTCATTTGGTTTCAAGATGAACAGTTCTTCTTGTGAATTTGTTTATTAAATCAAGTCTTTTCATTTAAATGGCAATTCACTCTGGAAAAAAAAGGTTCTGTAGCTGAAAGCTCGCATTGTTCGGTGGTTCATCGCCATCAAGAATGTTGACGCGAACGTACCCCTCCAGGGGCACCCCAAAAACCACAACAAAATCCGTTTGTAGCTCGTGCTTACGCCAAAGCTGTATGTTAATGGCTGCTTTCGAGCCTAAACATGATAAAAATTGTTAGAGCTCTAATTTTTTTCATTATTCAAGAAGTTCTCCAGTCCAGATGTTGTAAGACATCAGAAATTTATCAAATCGCGAATCGCGCGTTTGGCCCGGTTAGAGTGTGTATATTGAATGCGCGTTTTTCCCGTACACACACTCTGTGGTCCAAGATGTGCGAGCGAATACAGTATACTATCGAAAATTTATTTTAGTGCAGCTACTTATTGTTCTCAAATCACAAACGTAAAGCCGCATCGGTAAATCAGTCGCTTTATTTGAACTTTCATATCAAACAATAATCAAATCCCTAAACAGCATTTCCACTCTGCATACTTTCATCTAAGAAATGATGTTGTCAATGCGGTCTATAGCACCAAACAAAACTTGTGTGCCTTGCTATCGTAAGTCTCCATTAGAAGTCGATAAATCCAGAGCATTTTAAGACCAATAAAAAAAAAGTTACATTTTGTTTTGCGTCAGTCCAAGATCTCGTGCCGGGCATACCTCAATAAGTCGCAGACATGCTCATCTCATTAAACAATTAAATAAACAGACTAATATCAATCAAGCATGCTGTCCATTTCCTCAGCGCAATTAGGCAACCATTTCCGCATATTCCAACCGCCGTTGATCAGCGACACAGTGTCCATATTTTTCCCCATACAAAGGATCGAGTACACGGTAGATACAGGAAGTATTCGGCTAACCGGTCGGTGTCTGGGTGGGAACGCGATAAGGCGCCGCACGTCGCGATGGCGCTGAGCGGGGCTTGGCGCGGAAGGGGATGCAGCGCTTGGTCTTGGCATGCTTGTAGCGGAAGACATCGCACAGCTCATCCTTGGTCAACAATCCCGTCTGCAAAGAATAATGCACAGGAAGTTGTGGTAGATCGTGATATTAGTAAAACAGTAAAAGTATTAGTATTTACTAATAAGTAAAGTTTGTGAATAGAACTGTTTTGCGATATTTATCGCAAAACAGTTCAGTTCACAAGCTCCTCCTGGAGCATCCTGGGGTAAAACGTATTCACGAAAAAGGCCGTAAGCAACTGCAGTGAAGTTAATAAATAAAGATGAAACTCCTAATCGAGGCGTTAAAAGAAAGAAATCTTTATGGAAATATCAAAATTAATAAGGTATCAGTTCGAACAAAATATTACATTACTTCCTTATTTGTTATACGGGGTTACCTCGCCCGGTCCATTGGCCAGTTGGGCATCTGTCATCAAGGGAAAACGGATGAAGTACAAGGTCCGGCCAAGTTTAGCGCGTCGGTTCTTACTGCTGACGGGGATCTTATCCACTTGGCACGCATATTTCGCCCATCTGCAAGAAAACGCCAGTGATCAACCCGGTCGATCTGGCGATGGAAGCGATACTTTCGTAATCTAGAAAATGCAGTATCAAATTTTCTGCAGCCAACGGAACATTTATATCAAACCTAGAACTGCGTTAAAAGTAAAATAATCAAAAACCCGATAAAAATTAAAATTAGATACCGTTCGGCGACTGTATATACGATGAACTCATCCGCTGTCAGTGTGCTGCGTCGCAGAACGGCGTCCAGTGTCGTTTTCTTCACCGTCAGGAATCTGTCCGACTGCAGAATCTCGGCGCTGGAGGCGTCCAGTATCTCCAAACATTTCCCGATCACCCGCTGGGCGTTCACTTCTTCGGCCTGCGCAGTGCGCACAACGGAAGCGAATTGTTATAAGACATTGTCATAATATTCAGTTAATTAATTGCTTACTTTTTCCAGCATTGTCAAGCAATTGTCCATGTTCAGGCTGGCGATGATGAAATCCGAGCACAGATCAAACAGTAGCTGAATTTTGTATTTTGACGCGCAGGACAGTGTGTCGAAAACATTATGCGAATTCAGATTTCCCACGCTGTCCGTGTACAGATAACTATAAAAAGGTCAAGAAAATAGCAGGGATTTATAATTGTAGCAATCACGGACCCGCAAAATGAGTTAAAACAAACTGCTACCGATAGATCGGTTTACCAGATCAGAAAAAAAGACGATAATAATTATTATTATAGAAGTCTCTAACAACTCCATATCTATTTTTACGCGTAAAACTCACTGTAACGGTAATATACTCAAGCGCGTAATCAAACCATGACAGAAAATTTTTCAAAATTACTGCCAAAAAATATAGTATTTCAGTATAGTATTTCATTTCCCTAAAACACAACACATGCAACGAAAAACTGCAAAAATTACAATTTTATAAAACTGTTAAACAAGAGGGATTCAAATAAATAACATAAATATAATCCATTATTCGCTACAAGTTTATTTATATATAATACTGTACCGCCCTGCCACAGAGTTCACGGTGGAGACCTGGCCAGCACACACCTGCTGTCGGCGGTTTTCATCTCAAAGGGGCCGACAATCCGTGTGCGCTGCCCGGTCCCTGGAGCGTTTCTGAACCGGTGGCAATGCAGCACCATTCGTATTTTTTTACTAACACTGTACTAATTTTATTCGTCATTAATTGAATGCCAATTATTTCTGACAAATTGCTGTTTCGTTCGCTAAAGCAACACTCACCACAGCAAGTTGTGGAAGGCTTCTGGCGTCGCATCCGGCACGTCCAGAGAACCGTTATCCTGCACCGGTGTTTCCCCGTGGAACATCCGATCAAACACCTGGCTGCCAGTGCTCAGCACAAATCTGTACAAAATAGCGAAGTTCCTTGAAACAGAACTATTACACGCTGGGTACGACTGCAAACTGGAATCTTACTTGTGTGCAAGGAATGTCTGTGTGGTTCCACGGTTGCGTCCGACGACAAACTGGATATCACTGTGTTCACCGGTAGCCAACAGATGTTTGTTGCGATTGGCGATGCCTGCAGTACGCCCCTGCCAGCCCCAGTCACTCTGGACCAGGGATGATGCGGATGGAGATGCTGTCAACTGCGACATATTTTTAGTGGGCAGACTGTCGAGGCAACAGGAGCTGCTTACGCTTAGTACGCATAACGGTGTTTTGCACTGCGTTGTGAATAAACCCAGTTACCATTCAACGAGGATATGACACATCAGAATATACTGATATTGATAATGATGGTTTCGATGGATGGTCGAATGAAAGCACTGTAATCAAGCGAGCGAGCGAAGCGTTTTTAATTTAAAGTGTGTAACGGGGCGAACCGGAGAACCGGGTTCCCGGGGTCCAGGGGCGAAGCCCCTGGCTTCGGGGTTTGGGGCGGAGCCCCAATATAAGAAGTGCGGGGGCGCAGCCCTCGGCAGTTGAGAAGGTAGTTTAAAATCGTAAACCTAACCGGGTTATAATTGACGGACCCAATGGGGAAATATGTGTTCGACCGTAAATTTGGACCCAGTGCAAACGCTTAGACCGCGTCGGGTGGTGGCATTTTGGGGAACCGTAACGTAAACTATAACCGGGTCATTATTGACGAACCCGCCGTAGTAATATACGAGGGGTCCGGAAATTTGGACCCGGTCCGGATTTTTTTGCGCCCCCGGGTGTTACTGTTTTGAGAAACCGTAACGTAAATTATAACCCGGTCATTATTGACGAACCCGCCGTAGTAATATACGAGGGGTCCGGAAATTTGGACCCGGTCCGGATTTTTTTGCGCCCCCGGGTGGAGCTGTTTGGGGAACCGTAACGTAAATTATAACTTGGTCATTATTGACGAACCCGCCATAGTAATAGACGGTGTGCCTGGAAATTTGGACCCGGTCTAAATTTCTTTAGGTTGGGAACAGTTTTTGGGAACCGCAACGTTAAATGTAACCGGGTCATTATTGACGAACCCAGTAATATACGGGTGCTCGTGAAATTTGTACCTGGGAATGATTACTTTTCGGCCCCGGGTGGGTGGCGTTTTGGGAACTGACGTTTTGGGAAATACTTATTCATTCTTCCGGAGTCCGCGGTGCATTTATATAGGTGGCCTAACTTATGAGCCCTGTCCAATCACTTTGCCCGGTGTTGGTGGTTTGGTTTTATCGTGAGTTCTTGCAACCATTTCTAAATACTATCAATAAAATTACCGTACCCGCAATACATTACTTTAGCAGGGTATTACTGTTACCACAACGGATTACTTTTTATGCAACGGGCGATCATTACTGAACTTCTATAATAATTAATCCTTAGCGTAACTGGTTTCCGTTACCGCAAACCGTTCTTTAACGGATTACTATGGCGGGATACTGTTACTGCTACCGTTACCGTAACAGATTACCGTGCATATTTTTGTCACCGTTTCAGGTAACCGTAACCGTTACTGCTGACTTTTAGCATCGCCGGTTGTCCCAATGAGTTGCCCTTACTTTAATAATTGACCGTTTCGATAAAAAAAATGAGGGCAACGCCTAGCTGCACTGCGATGATACGGTAACGATAAACGAAAGCGGAGCCAAAGGCGACGCCGAGTTGCGGCGCGAGCAAGCGCAGCGCAGCGAGCAGAGCAGCAAGGAAAATGAGAAGATTCTATTGCCTTTTATTCTTAAAAAGTTCTTACTGTTTCGTTGGAACTTTTCGCAACCGTGATGATACGGTAGCGGAAACTGAGGGCAAAGCCGAAGGCGACGCCGAGCTGCGACGCGAGCAAGCGGAGCAGAAAGTAAAACAAGAGAATCCTATTGCCCCTATATTCTGAAGCAATTCTCACAGTTCCGCTTGAACTTTTTGTTACCGTGTTGATACGGTAGCGGAAACCGAAGGCGGAGCCAAAGGCGACGCCGAGCTGCGACGCCAGCAAGCGTAGCGCAGCAAGCGGAGCAGAAAGTAAAATTAGAGAATTCTATTGCCCCTATATTCTGAAGCAATTCTCACAGTTCCGCTTGAACGTTTCGTTACCGTGTTGATACGGTAGCGGAAACCGAAGGCGGAGCCAAATGCGACGCCGAGCTGCGGCGCGAGCAAGCGCAGAGCAGCGCGCAGAGCCGCAATGAAAATGAGAGGATTCTATTGCCTTTTATTCTGAAAAAGTTCTTACTGCTTCGTTGGAACTTTTCGCAACCGTGATGATACGGTAGCGGTAACCGAAGGCGGAGCCAAAGGCGACGCCGAGTTGCGGCGCGAGCAAGCCTGCAGCGCGAAACAGAGCAACAAGGAAAATGAGAGGATTCTATTGCCATTTATTCTGAAGACGTTCTTACTGTTCCGTTGGAACTTTTCGCAACCGTGATGATACGGTAGCGGTAACCGAAGAGCGGAGCCAAAGGCGACGCCGAGTTACCGCAAGCAAGCGCAGCGCATAAACAGAGCAGCAAGAAAAATGAGAGGATTCTATTGCCATTCTGAAGACGTTTTCACTGTTTTGTTGAGTCCTTTTCGCAACTGTGATGCTGGCGGAAACTGAGGCGAGCGACAGGCGACGCAACAAGCGGTGCGCAGCAAGCGGAGCAGAAAAGTAAAACAAAGAGAATTTATAGCCCTATATTCTGAAGCAATTCTCACAGTTCCGTTGAACTTTTCGTTACCGTGATGATACGGTATCGGTAACCGAAGAGCGCCAAAGGCGACGCCAGGATACAACGAGACAAACGCAGCGCAGCGAGCAGAGCAACAAAAAATGAGAGGATTCTACTGCCATTTATTCTGAAGACGTTTTCACTGTTTTGTTGGAACTTTTCGCAACTGTGATGATACGGTAGCGGAAACTGAGGGCAAAGCCGAAGGCGACCCCGAGCTGCGACGCGAGCAAGCGGTGCGCAGCAAGCAGACAGAAAGTAAAATAAGAGAATTTTATTGCCCTATATTCTGGAAGCAATTCTCACAGTTCCGATTGAACTTTTCGTTACCGTGTTGATGCGGTAGCAGAGCTGAAGCGAAACCAAAGGCGACGCCGAGCTGCGGCGCGAGCAAGCGCAGCGCAGCGAGCAGAGCAGCAAGGAAAATGAGAGGATTCTATTGCCATTTATTCTGAAGCAATTCTCACAGTTCCGCTTGAACTTTTCGTTTCCGTGTTGATACGGTAGCGGAAACCGAAGGCGGAGCCAAAGGCGACGCCGAGCTGCGGCGCGAGCAAGCGTAGCGCAGCAAGCCGAGCAGAAAGTAAAATTAGAGAATTCTATTGCCCCTATATTCTGAAGCAATTCTCACAGTTCCGCTTGAACTTTTCGTTTCCGTGTTGATACGGTAGCGGAAACCGAAGGCGGAGCCAAAGGCGACGCCGAGCTGCGGCGCGAGCAAGCGCAGAGCAGCGCGCAGAGCCGCAATGAAAATGAGAGGATTCTATTGCCTTTTATTCTGAAAAAGTTCTTACTGCTTCGTTGGAACTTTTCGCAACCGTGATGATACGGTAGCGGTAACCGAATGCGGAGCCACTGGCGACGCCGAGTTGCGGCGCGAGCAAGCGTAGCGCAGCAAGCCGAGCAGAAAGTAAAATTAGAGAATTCTATTGCCCCTATATTCTGAAGCAATTCTCACAGTTCCGCTTGAACTTTTCGTTTCCGTGTTGATACGGTAGCGGAAACCGAAGGCGGAGCCAAAGGCGACGCCGAGCTGCGGCGCGAGCAAGCGCAGAGCAGCGCGCAGAGCCGCAATGAAAATGAGAGGATTCTATTGCCTTTTATTCTGAAAAAGTTCTTACTGCTTCGTTGGAACTTTTCGCAACCGTGATGATACGGTAGCGGTAACCGAAGCCGGCGCCAAAGGCGACGCCGAGTTACGGCGCGAGCAAGCGCAGCGCAGCGAGCAGAGCAGCAAGAAAAATGAGAGGATTCTACTGCCATTTATTCTGAAGACGTTTTCACTGTTTTGTTGGAACCTTTCGCAACTGTGATGATACGGTAGCGGAAACTGAGGGCAAAGCCGAAGGCGACCCCGAGCTGCGACGCGAGCAAGCGGTGCGCAGCAAGCGGAGCAGAAAGTAAAACAAGAGAATTTTATTGCCCCTATATTCTGAAGCAATTCTCACAGTTCCGATTGAACTTTTCGTTACCGTGTTGATACGGTAACGGAAACTGAAGGCGAAACCAAAGGCGACGCCGAGCTGCGGCGCGAGCAAGCGCAGCGCAGCGAGCAGAGCAGCAAGGAAAATGAGAGGATTCTATTGCCATCTATTCTGAAGACGTTCTTACTGTTTCGTTGGAACTTTTCGCAACCGTGATGATACGGTAGCGGTAACCGAATGCGGAGCCACTGGCGACGCCGAGTTGCGGCGCGAGCAAGCGCAGCGCAGCGAGCAGAGCAGCAAAGAGAATGAGAGGATCTTATTGCCTTTTATTCTGAAAAAAATCTTACTGTTTCGTTGGAACTTTTCGCAACCGTGATGATACGGTAGCGGTAACCGAAGGCGGAGCCAAAGGCGACGCCGAGTTGCGGCGCGAGCAAGCGCAGCGCAGCGAGCAGAGCAGCAAGGAAAATGAGAGGATTCTATTGCCATTTATTCTGAAGACGTTCTTACTGTTCCGTTGGAACTTTTCGCAACCGTGATGATACGGTGGCGGAAACTGAGAACAAAGCCAGAAGGCGACGCCGAGCTGCGACGCGAGCAAGCGTAGCGCAAGCGGAGCAGAATAAAATAAGAGAATTCTATTGCCTCTATATTCTGAAACAATTCTCACAGTTCCTTGAACTTTTCGTTACCGTGTTCATACGGTAGCGGAAACCGAAGGCAGACCAAGGCGACGCCGAGCTGCGGCGCGAGCAAGCGGCAGCGCAGAGCAGCAATGAAAATGAGAGGATTCTATTGCCATTTATTCTGAAGACGTTTTCACTGTTTCGTTGGAACTTTTCGCAACCGTGATGATGCGGTAGCGGTAACCGAAGGCAGACCAAAGGCGACGCCGAGTTGCAACGCGAGCAAGCGCAGCGCAGCGAAACAGAGCAAGAAAAATGAGAGGATTCTATTGCCATTTATTCTGAAGACGTTTTCACTGTTTCGTTGGAACTTTTCGCAACCGTGAAGATATGGTAGCGGAAACTGAGGGCAAAGCCGAAGGCGAAGCCGAGCTGCGACGCGAGCAAGCGTAGCGCAGCAAGCGGAGCAGAATGTAAAACAAGAGAATTCTATTGCCTCTATATTCTGAAG